CAACACTACTACTAATAACAACAACAATACTACTACTACTAATAACAGCAACAACAACAATACAACTACTAATAACAATTACAACAACAACAATCCAACGACCAATAACAATTACAACAACAACAATACTACTACTACTAATAATAATGCATTTTATTTGTGTGGGACACTTTAAAATGAACCAGGTTTCAAAACTAAGTAATCCATATCAAAACATGTCTCTCAGACAGGCCGCTCACCCAGCTGGTCCTCACCCACCACAGCCCATCTCCAACCGCCTCCCCACCCTCCCATCTCCAAAATACTGGAACTGGCTGGTTCCCTCACAACCACAGTCCCACCCCGACACAGACCAACTCTATCAGCCCGTCCCGTCTGACCCCGACCCTCCAACAATTTGGGCAGCCAAGGAACCACAAGTGCTGGCGTCCCCCAGGGGTCAGCCTTGGGTCCCATTCCCTTCACCATCTACACACCTCCTGCCCCCCCGGGAAAAAAGTGGGTGTGCATGGGGGCTCCGAGCTGCACAGGGCGCATAAGTGATCGTGGTCAAATGATTTTTCATCAGCATTTTCTGCATTTAACAACAGTTTTTGTAATAAAAAAAAGATAAAAAGAAGCATTTAACAACATTTTTGCATATGTATTCTATATGATTACGTCATCGATTAGTTCCGGCTGGAACAGGATCGTTTTCTTTCGAATGGTCCGATGACAGGAGGCTAAAGATGGAGGCAGAACAGAAAGCGCTCAGGAAGAAAAGGAAGAAGGAGAAGAAAATGTCACAGGCCTGAAAAACAGCTTTGCAAAAGCATCCGAGAGACAGCAGCTGACTTGTGTCCATGTTTAGATATTCAGCTAAAGCTGCTGTAAAACGACAGGCTGCTGCTGTCTGTCAGCCTCATCGGGATTTATAACCGATCAGGACCAGAAACTCAGAGGAACCGGTTTGTGGTTCCGTTGCTCAGACAGGAAACAGAAGTTTAACAGAATCAGAAAAGAACTCGGGGATGAAACCCTGGACTCTGGATGACCCCACAGAGCTGCTGGTCTGAGAGGTCAGAGAAGCAGCGTCCCGTCAGATATCCAAGAGGGAGGTTATGTAAACTGCATTCTTCAACCTTCATCACGTCTCCAGACTCCGCCCACCACTGACCCATCCAGCAGGCAGGTCCTGGTCCACTCGTTTTTATGTGGACTCCTCGTTTTAATGTTATTAATCTTTCCAGCTTTTCTCTGTAAGGCGACCTAGGGTGACTTGAAAGGCACTTCCAAATAAATAAAATGCATTATTATTATTATCATAATTATTTTATGAGTTATTTTCTAAATATTTTTGTTTATTTATCTTCTTCTTCATAATGTTATTTTTGTTGGTATCTTTTATTATTGGTAGTGGATTTATTTATGAAAATTAACTATACGTATCTTGTACCTTTATAATTACAAATAAAGTGTTTGTAAAACTCTTCTTCTTTTTCTTTTTATTCATAATAATGATAATAATAATCATTTTTATTTATTTTCTAAATATTTTTGTTTATTTATGTTTTGGTTGTTGTGTTCTTGCTTTTATTCTTCTTGTTATTTTTGTTGGTATTTTTGATTATTGGTCGTGTATTTATTGATGTAATTTAACGATGTGTATCTATCTTGTACTTTTGTAGTTATAAATAAAGTGTTTGTAAAACTTAAAAACTTCTACATGTTTGGAAGAAGAAAATCCAAACACAGCTTTTTTAGTTCAGATACCTTTTTGAATTAGTGCTTTATTATTTCTTTTTAAAAGACACATTTTCATGCGAGTGTGGCGTCACTTTATTACTTTACGACCGAGTCGGTTTTTATAATCGGATCCAAGTCACAGAGGAAATCTTCTCTGTGGAGTAATTTCATTTGGTCTGCGGCAGAGTTTTGTTTATTCATTTATTATTTGTTTTTCAGACGGCGACTTCCAGATGAAGTCCAGGAGGGGGGAGAAGGGGGAGAAGGGAGAAGGAGGGACGATGATGCTGGGCTCAGACCTCCGACGTGCCGCAGCACCATTAGGGGACACCGAAACCCTCCTGAGCCGTGTGGAACATGAACTAAAACATAAAACCTAAAAAAAGTGCAACTTTGGTCATCTCCCGCCTTGACCACTGTAACGTCTTCCTGACGGGTCTCCCAGCCTGGGTGGCAAAACCGTCACAAAGGATCCAGAACGCAGCGGCCCAAAAAGTCTCACATCACCCCTGGTTACCCCCGGTTCCCCTGGGTAAACCCTGGCTGGCCTTGGTTACCCCTGGTTTTCCCTGGTTACCCTTGGTTTTCCCTAGTTTCCCCCGGTTACCACTGGTTACCCTTGGTTATTCCCGGTTTCCCCCAGTTACCACTGGTAACCATGGTTACCCCTGGTTTCCACCTGTTACCCCTGGTTACCCTGGTTACTACTGGTTACCCTTGGTTACTCCTGGTTACTCCTGGTTACCCCTGGTTTTCTCTGGTTAGCCCAGGTTTTCTCTGGTTACTCCTGGTTTTCCCTGGTTACTATTGGTTACTCCTGGTTACTCCTGGTTACCCCTGGTTTTCTTTGGTTACTACTGGTTACTCCTGGTTACTCCTGGTTACCCTTGGTTACCCCTGGCTACTCCTGGTTACCCCTGATTACTCCTGGTTTTCTCTGGTTACCCCCGGTTACCCTTGGTTACCCCTGGTTTTCTCTGGTTACCCCTGGCTGCCCACATCATACCAAGTCCCTGATGCTGACCTACAAAGTGCTTAAGGGGACGGCTCCCATCTTTGTGAGTCGCTTTGGATAAAAGCGTCTAAATGCAGAAACAGAAACATAAAAGCCCCCCAAAAAACCCAGAAGAACAGCTTTAAAAGCAAAAAACAGCTATAAATCCTCCTAAACAGCCTTAAAAGCCACAAAACAGTTTCTAAGCCTCCAAAACAGTTTTAAAGGCCCCCCAAAAACAGCTTTAAAAGACACAAAAAACAGTTTTAAAGCCCCCAAAACAGCTTTCAGATGGAGGAAGGAGCTACCAGGCCCACCAGAGCAGCAGCTCCCTGTCTTTCTTCAGAAACTCCTACAGACCCTCCTCTCCACAGAACATCTCCTATCCCAACTCCTCCCCAGACCTCTGGACCCTCTACTTCTCTTTCTGTGCTTCCCTTTATCTCCTCCTGTCTCCACTGACTCTGACTGGGGGTTTTCCTCCAGAGAGTTGATTGTCAGACTGATGAGAACTGGAACACTGGGTCTGCTTTGGGAGTTGCTTTGGATAAAAGCCTCTAAATGCAGAAACATGAACAGAAACATAAAAAGCGGGCCTGTTCTGGTCCTCAGGCCTCCCGGTCCGGCCCGGTCTGGTCCACGCTGGTACCAGGCCAAGCTGGGAGGCTGTTGCCATGGCGCCCAGAGGGTGACTGACAGCTGTCACGGGGATGCTGCGAGCATGTGTGTGTGTGTGTCTGTGTGTGTGCTGCAGTGTGCAGAGTGACATGTGAAGTGGGAGGAGGTGGAAGCCACAGAGATGCTGTCATGTGTGGG